GCTGTCTATGTTGTAAATCAGGGCCTATCGTGGGAACGTTGAAACTCAATCGAACTGGATACGTTCCTGGGGAATCAATTTATTTCGAAGCAAGTGCTCAGAATAATACCAGCCGTGTTTGTAGCATGTATGCTGATCTACAAATGGTACGCAGCCTTGAGTTATATTGCTTTTTTGTATTTTTATAAAATAAATCTTTATCTATGCCGACCAGTAATTCAATTAAATCTACAGCTAGCGAATTTGGAATTCCCTATGAAATACAAATCATGATAAGATAACCAAGCCAGTGTATTAACTTTTGTTGTCGTCTCTCTACATAAAGATTATCCTGTAAAAGTTACACGTGTAAATATACCTATTTCAATCACCAAAAGGTTATGTTTCAGTAAAATCTTCATTGTTAAAATAAAAGGTATTGATTTTTTTTTATAGGTCACAAACTACACTGCCTACATGCATGGAAGAAAAAGCACATTGACATTACCGAAAGTAATCAACCGTATTAAGCACCAAGATTTGCCTCCTGGTGAGTCAGAGGTTTGGAGTGGAGATAGGTTTGTGATCCCGCCTCTGGCACCTTCTTACCTGGGAGGGTGCTCTCTCATCAAGGTCAAATATTTGGTAACGGTAAGAAAACTGGAGTAATTACTGTAAAGTGATGATATAATGAATCCTTGAAGTGTGAAACAGTATTCATCTGTAAATTATCAGTATAAAATGAGGATGAAATGGTCCAGGATAAAATTCACATTTTCTTCTGTAGCTTTCAATAAACCCCTCTGGACCGTCGTTCAACTTACAAATCCCAGCTGAAGTTATTATAGGAACAATTCCATTGCAATCTGTGGTACAGCAATATCAACAGGCAAATTCTACAACTCAGCCATCCGCTCCACCATTAATGCGTATGTTTTATCAATTTTACAAGTACTGGTACCTTACATATGTTCACAACTCTTGAACACTGCTTGTTCACTGCTGTTGTGATACCCTAAAAGTACACTAAACCTCAGGTTACAGGAAAGTAGCATCGCTTCTTGAAAGAAGGGACAGAAAAAAAATTGACAACTTACCTGAAAAAAAATTGGACGTAAGGGTGGTGGTTTATCATTTTCGACAAGATATTTTTTAAAACATCTCTATAAAAAAACCTTTTATGCTGCAACAAAAATAGAGTTGGAGGGGGAATCTTTCAATGAACATAATCATACTAACTTAACAGTCAAAAGACATGTTTAAAAAAAAAAGTGGGGAAGGGTTGGGGGTGGGGGCAGCAACCACCCCCACCCTCGATACTACATGCCTTGGTTATAGGTAGTTAGAAAAGAACTAATATACTGTGTCTTTTATTTACAAGTATTTACATCTCTAGTCATCAAAAAGGGCATCGCAAAGCGGAGCATGCCCTTGGAAAAGAACACATCCCGATATAAGCTCTTGTGAAAAAGATATAATTACATGTATATGTATTCTAAAGCATTGTTTATGGAGTTAAAATAATTTATACTGCAGCTGATCCTAGCTTCACCGAGTCGATCTGGGGCCCTACCAACATCGGGAGGGACGAGGGGGGAGAGAACGGACAGATATATGGACAACTGGAATTTACTCCCAGATACTCGTTTTACAAGCGGTAGTTGGTTAGACGTGTACATGAACACTGAGGTATTCCTCTGCTTTGAAGAGAAAGAAAATAAGTACATATTTAGAATTCAAATCCATTTAGTTTTTGGTTGTCTTTCTGTTATATTTTTAATTTTCTTGATTGTGTGCCATATACGTATGTGTAAATAAATCCGTTTACAATTATCAAAATAAATGTTTAATCATAGTTTGGTTACAATAACATCACAGAAAATCATACTATGTTCTTAGTACTGTGAAAATACAGACTGAAAGTATATGCAGTATTGACATGATATAGCAGACTAAACTGTCCAAAAGTAAAAGTGTTTATATACTATCGACTGTGTAATACGTACTTTACAATGTTTTACAACAAAATATCAACTGCAATCTTTAGCGTGAAATACTATATGTAATATCATTTAGAAAATATATATAGGTATTATTCATCTTGCTTCCTGTGTGAACAGTCGGCAGATATTTTTATAGAATTATTGTTTTAGAGTTTTTGTTAAAACTTTTCATGTATGAAACACATTGTAATGTTACTGTTTGTTAGAAAAATGATTTATAGTCAAAAAAATAAATACAAAAATTCTAAGGCTGTTTTCGAGGAGAGGGAGGTTGGAGGAATTTTAAGGGTGCAAATGAAATTGCTAGGCTTAAAGACCCAATTTTTTTACCGTACGGTTACCTGAGGAGGGGGAGTGGTCAAAGTAACAGTGGTGTTATTTACCTGGAGACCCCCAATACTCAAGATGTCAAAAATCTGTGTATACGTAGCATTACACAGGAAGTCTGTGTTTGGTAATCAGGGTAAACAGTACGTGTTTTTTGTCTGGTTTTGAGTGAAACTACGTAAAATAATTATTTTAAGATGGAATTTATTTGTAAACTAAACGCTTTCATCGTAATCATGGTAATGTTTTGAAGGAAAAAAAATAATAAGATTCATGTATATCGTTTTAGAAAATGTTTTCCTTACATAAAAGAAAAATTCACGAATAAAAACTACAAATCAATAATATTTATCTTTTTTACTCTTCAATAAAAGAAATCACTTGATTAAAAAAAGTGTGACTATTGAAATAAAAAAAAATATTGATCCACCTATTCGTCGTGCATGTGAACATGCATTTACCGCGATCGGAATATTTTTTTTATGGCGAACAATGTTGTCCACAATGTTCCATATTTTTTATTCTTCGTGTGTTAACAAAATTTTATTTTTAGAAAGATTTCTTTTCAGAATCGATCACTACTAATTATCTTCACATTTTCATTACGTATACATACAGACGCTAGAGTAAATTCGAGCATTAATTCTAACATCAATTTTTGTGCAACATCGTGCGGATTGTAGCCATAGTACAAAATAAAACATCTTTTAAAAACTATACTTTGCCGTTTATTAGTGCTGAATATTTTTCTTCTATCCCATTTCTTAAAAAATAATTTAGTTCGTCGGACTTCTAATTACGGCAATTAGAGCTGGTTTCTGTGGACGCGGTATTTTTTTCTACAGATAAACGTGGACGATATAATACTTACAAGTAACAAACAGCAATGAAGATAGAAAAGAAATATTTTATTATGTCAATTTATAATAATCTACTTCCAATTATTTTTTGAAATAAAATTCAAACATATTGGAGTTTTTTAATCCGCGTGTATACTATGCGGGTACATGAGAGCGTTTGACGCGTGACCAGGTAATTGTTTTCAAAACATGCAAACTCAGATTATCAAGAAGCACAGGTAGCTGAGCTGTCAATCAAATCAGAAGCTATTGTTTTTTTAATGATTGACAGGCGGTAAATTATTGATCTTGAATCAGGTAGATTTTGGGGGCGTTAACATAAAATTGGGTGTTTAAGTAGAATTTGTTGTAAACGTCTATGTGCCGTGAAGGTCGTTAAATTTTCATTACTGATTAATATATTATGTTATGATGGTTTTAAATATATTCAAGGAAAAAAAAAAGGGTTACCGATACGATATTGAAAACAATCATAAAAAAACGTTAATTTACGATGAATCATTATAATTTTATTCAGCAAGTGCGATGATGACGGTTATCTAGTATAGGATATCTTTTATCATCTACAAACACTAATAGATATTAAATACTTTGCCCAAAACTAGTTACAAATATAACTTGAAACTAATACTACAGTCACTTTCAAACTTCTGCTTGATAAAGTCACTGCAAAGTAAAAGAATCGCTAAAAACAGTAGCATAACTTTCAGTGTTTTCTTAGCATTCTAAATGACTGGTCCATATAGTGACGTCACAGTGGCCAAAGGCCTGAAACTGCTCCATTCAGAAAATCGCTCGGGTGTGAAGTGGGGTTTATCCCCGATATCTCCCTTAATTGTTCATAGATTTTGATGTTTTTTTTTTCTTTGATTTTATTTCGCCGTAATTACATCTCTTACATATAAAAGAATTGCGATTCATTTCTATTACCCTTTAAGTAGCGAATAAGTTGAAAGACGTAAGCACCAGTATGGTGATGGCGAAATAAGACTTCAAGAATAAGGAAGGTTATGATGGAAACGCCGAAGTAATCGTGTTTATCATACAATTTACTTGTTAGTCGACTCTTAAGTATATAAGCAGTAAAACATCCAAACGTGACAGGCACTGTGATGTTATTTTTTTTAAGTTCACTTGTATGGGCAGCGGAAAGGGCCAAAATTACCATAATGAGAAAACAAACAATTTTTAAAATTACTATGACCATAAAAACTTAACAAATGATATACAATGTATAATAAACAGACCTTTTCGCAAAACAAATATGCATTAAAGAAAATATATCCGCTTCCAATACACTAGGCTACATGTATATCGATTTGATATATACATTTACGTAATTATTAATTCGTCAGTATATCTGAACGTTAAATTTAAGGCCACAGTTAGTGATTTTTTTTCTATTTTGAAGGTTTTGAAAATTTTGCTTCATCGGAATATAAAAACAATTCGACAAATAGAGCAAACGGAATTCCAATTTGTCTCCGAAGACTATGTTGTCAACAGAAACTACACGTCTTTTTAATATTAACTACAGAGTACTTCACTGTAGAATCAGAAATTTTAACAAAATAGTGTTGTTGATGACCAATCACAAGTTATGAAATTTGTAATATTTTAATTTTGAAAATATTTTTTATCTCCCCGACAACAGGAATGGGCTACAGTTTAACTTAGCTTAGTTATAGGAGATATTGAATTGCTGTTCAAGTATTATCTAAAGCATAAGCATCGTATGGGATTTATAAAAAAAAAAAAGGACTCTCAATATTCATTTATAATAATCATAGTTTTTACAGGAAGACGCCCCTCCCAGAAAAAAGAAACTATGTAAGAAAACTCAATTTTATTATGAAGCGTCTTGCAGTTCTACAGTTCTCCAGTATTTTTTTCATTATAAAAGGCTCAAATCATCATTTTTGTTTAATTCGTTACTTCTTACACTTTTTTCTACATCTAATTCGAAATAAAACATTTACATTGCTAAAGAAAGGACGCATTGTTTTCTTAACTTGCTTTTATGTTAAACAAATTTTAAGAATGGCATACAATCTTAGGAAAGTGCACACCGGGAATATACAATTACATTTCAATCGTTGTTCCTGTAGCTTGTAAATAAAAGAATAGCCATTTGAATATTTTGTATTAAGATATTGATAGAAATTGAATTGCAGAAAAGATACTTGATATAAACAATGTAAGACAAAGTGTGTTAAGAAATATTTCCATGTAAATTTTAGAATGAAAAAGTCATCATGAGAAATCAGCTTTGACATTACTTTGTGTCATTTGAATTCACTTCAAATTGAATCCTACGATAAATTCTGATTCCGGGTTGATGGAGTGACCACTCATTATGCTGGGTAACTTGGTGGTGGCTGCATCGAGTAGCCTGGTTGATATTGCATGGGATAACCTGTCTGTTGCGGCACGGGATAGCCGGCTTGTTGATGTGTGGCTATTGCAGTGTTTGAATTCACCACCGTCACACCTAAAAGTAGGTAATTAGATAAAACTCTATCCTACGACTTTGGCGAAAATGAATTAAAACAAATGTGAATGAATTGTTTTTAGACAGTCTTAGCTTGCGCTGTTGGTTGACATTCCTACATGTTGATTGAAATTCTTACCTGTTGATTGACATTTTTACCTGTTAATTGACATTCTGACCTGGCACTGTTAATTGACATTCTTACCTGGTGTTGTTGATTGACATTCTGACCTGGCACTGTTGATTGACATTCTTACCTGGCACTGTTGATTGACATTCTTACCTGGCGCTGTTGACTGACATTCTTACCTGGTGCTGTTGATTGACATTCTTACCTGGTGCTGTTATTTGACAATTTTACCTGGTGCTGTTGATTGACATTCTTACATGGCGCTGTTGATTGTCATTTTTACCTTGTCATATACTAGTAGTTTGTCATTCTAACCTTGCAATGCTGTTTGACATTATTACTTGTTGATTGACATTCTTACCTGGTGTTGTTGTTTGACATTCTTACCCGGGGCTATTGATTAATATCCTAACCTGGTACTGTTTATTGACATTCTTATCTTGATCGTCATTCTTACCTGGTGATGTTGTTTGACATTCCTACATGATGCTGTTGTTTAACATTATTACCTGGCGCTGTTGATTGACATTCCTACATGATGCTGTTGTTTAACATTATTACCTGGCGCTGTTGATTGACATTCTTACCTGATGCTTTTTATTAACTTTCTAACATGTTGATTGACATTCTTACCTAGCGCTGTTGATTAATATTCTTACCTGGTGTTGTTGTTTGACATTTTGACCTGTTGATTGACATATTTATCTGTTGATTGACATTCTCACCGGTTTTTGACACTCATACCTCTTGATTTATATTCTTACCTAACGCTGTTGTTTAACATTCTTACCTGGTGATTGATATTCTTACCTGGCATTGTTGATTGACATTTTTACCTGTTGCTGTTGATTGACATTCTTACCTCTTGATTGACATTCTTACCTGTTGCTGTTGATTGACATTATTACCTTTTGATTGACATTCTTACCTACTGATTGACATTCTTACCTGTTGATTGACATTCTTACCTGTTGCTGTTGTTTGACATTCTTACCTGTTGATTGCTATTCTTACCTAGCGCTATTGATTTACATTCTTACCTGGTCCTGCTGCGCCATGCATCACCACGCCTGCTCTACTGTGACCACAACACGATTTACAGATACAAATAATGACCCCCACAACCACAGCAATGCAGCCAAGTCCTATCAGGACAGGGACCCACCTATAAATCCAAAAATAGAAGCAGCCACTTAAATATTTCCTTAATGTAGCATTATTTACCTGATTAGAAACCATTATTTGAAATTGAAAAAAGGTAAATATAAGAACTTAAAAAATATTACTGGCTGTTATATAGAACATGTTTAAAAAAATTTTCATATCATACAATTAATTGTAAATAAACCTGGATTATGAGCATTTATACAGACATAATTTCTGTATTCTCATTTAGTTACATTAAGGTCATCAAAGTGGCTCTTTTTCATCTTTTATAAAGTTAGTTGTTTTAAGTTTAACTTGAACAAAGCCTTTTTTAGCTAGTACATGTACCTGTACTTAGATATTCTTAATTTAACATACAATTCTACGCGGAAAAAAGATTAATTTTCTTTTTTGGACAATCATTTTTAAAGCTCCTGTATCATAAACATGCAAGCTGTATTGTATGTTTATAAATCACAACCTAAAAAGTTCAGATATGCTGAAGCAAAACAGTTTCTCTCTGAGCAATACGGCACCATATTTTTTTAGTTATTATTACCAACTACAATATGAAATAAGGATTGTACAATGTATATTGAATGACTAGTCCTTCTGAGAGAGAGACTATATTTCAAATTGTCTAGATATTGTAGCATAAAATGAATATTCTAGACTTGCTCAAGTCTCTATGTTTTTATTGTTTATTTTTATAAATATTTTTTTTTTAAAAAATTCTTTTTCTTATTTGTATTGCTGTCCTCTGCTCTCTGTCATAGTTAAATGTTATCAAACATAGTGTTTGACATTATCAAAAAGTTTGAAAGACTGCACTAAAATTAAAACATAGAGACTTGAGCAAGTCTATGAATATTCCTGATAGCAAAGATACACAAAAACATATATATATATATATAGAGAGAGAGAGAGAGAGAGAGAGAGAGAGAGAGAGAGAGAGAGAGAGAGTTCTATTATGGTTAAACCCACTCGTGTTGGGAGAAGTAAGCGGCGCAAAGGTCTTTCCTCTCGCTAGATGGCGCCTGAAGCAGGACGTTACTACAGCAGTCGTATTTTCCCAACTGGACACAGCAGTAGTCGTCACACCACTTTTCCTTGTTGTAGGAAAAAAGTACGTCGAAATGAGCTTTACAGCACTCTCCTGCCCACACCAGTAAGGGGCCACTCACTGTCCAATAAAGTATGGTAAATAAAGTGCTATATTCAATAGGGCTATCAAACTTTAATAAAATTTCAAAATAACTCTCACGGTAGCAAAGTATTTCAATTACTGAGTACAATAAGAGATAGTTGTTGCATTTTATAGCTTTAATGTACAGTTAATCCTAATTTTTATCCTATTTTAATACCTAATATGTTACGGGGTTGTAATATCTTCAAATAAAACTTCGTAGGAAGAGAATCAAATTTATTTTCTTTCTTGGAATTTGATATCATAAAACAAAAAAAAAAACATTTGCTTGTTTGTTTAAAGTTCCTTTTAATTATATTGAAACGCAACCATATGCTGAAAATTTAGACCTATATTTAAAGTCAGGGTCATTGAACAGTTTTTTAAATTGTGCCAACACCTACTGTGACACGGGATCTCGGTTTATTCGGTTTCAACCGATATTCTCAATGTCCGCCGGTGGAATTCGGACCTGCGATGAAGGATTTACTCCTTACTTCACGACCTTAGAACAAACGCTGTAACCACTGCGTCAAGCTGGCGTCAAATTAAAAAATAACTTACGTCTAAATTACAACACTTCTTACCCTCTAAAATCCCTTTTAGCAACTACAAGAGTTCCCGTCTGACACATCCAATGCTTTATTCCACCTACAGTGTACAACTCGGAATGTTCTTTACAAATTTTTCTACCACCCACAACTTCCTCCCATTCAAATATCCTATAATTTTCAACCCGTCATACCATTTATATCTTTCTATCAGCTAAAATTTCCAGTCATTTGCAATATCTCCTTTTAACTACAACTTCCTAACACCTACAACCAATCCCACCGTCTACAATTTCTTTTAAATTTCCTCCCAACTAAATCATCCTACAATCTACAATTCTTCCCAACAGCTCAAAATATCCAAACATTAACGACCCTTCTACCATCGACAAGTTCTTCTCAACTAAAACTTCCTATAATCCGCAATCCTTCGTATCATCTATAATTATTTGATATCATCTACAAACCCTCCTACCTTTTACGGATTTTTTGCCAAGCTGTAAAAAATATTACAATCCGCCTAACCAGGTAATATTAGGTGAAAAGCGTTAGTTGTTCATATTATATTACATTGAAGTCCATTTCAATGTGTGATGTATTTGATATATGCCGAATACAGTTCTGTATTAAAAAAATATCAGACAGTTTGAGGCCCGACAGGGCCGAAAACCGTCTGATATTATTTAATACAGAATTGTATGAGACATAAATCGTACTTAAAACATTGCTTTTGAGTTACCTGCGACAGTCCGATATTGGAACAATAAATAAAGGTGTTAATGACCTCTGAAGCAATTTTTTCAAGAATGCAGGCTTAAATAAAAAGTACTTATTATTTAATGATTTGGCTACACTGAAGAAGGCATTTGAAAGGATTTGAAAAAGAAAGTGGGGACAAAATTTTTCTTCATTAAAACATACACGGAGATTAAATCAGTGCAACAAATTATCATTTAGACAATCTAGTGAATGATGAATTTGCAATGGAATGGAATGGATATGAAGAATATCCACAGAAAATCAAGCAGATGCAAGAGGTATACTAGACCATTTTATTTTTTTATGTTAAGCGTCTACATGTTCCTTTGTTTTTGATGTTCCATTTCAGAAAAACAAATATAAACAATAATCCAGGAGTATTGAGGGAAACGTTGAAAAACTTTTTTCTTTCAAAAATTTCTTCCAAAATTTGTTCCAAATCTGTCAACTTAGTTATTAATTATCATATACTAGGCCTAGTTACCTTGATTTTGCATCTAAGCATTTTCCTTTAAATGAGAAAAATGAGATCAAATTGCTTGAATGCGGCTCTTTCTAGTGTCTAAACTTAGAGTTTTATTATGAATTTATTTTTGGGGCTTTAAAAATTAATTTGCTTCTCTGGTGACCCTCAGTGTGCCCACTCTTTTTCAAAAACCAGAGAAAGGGATTGAAACACGTCTTCCATTTTAATAAGTTTATCAGGAGATTACCCGTTTTTTGTGGGTTTTTTGTTTGTTTTTATTTGCATTATCTGGTCTGTCGCATGTTCTACCTGTTACAGTATATTTTGTGTAATTGAAAGGTTTTTTTTTTCCATTTTGCAATTATGTAAGATCAATGTTTCAAAATCATCATTCTATGTAAGAAATATAGATTGCTGTTTGTTAAATTATCACACTTTTTATTTCTTTTGTTCAGTAGCAGTCCAATTTTGAAGGATATCAGTACTGATACAGTCTAATATTACGATTAATATCAGACTGCTCACTAATATCGGACTGCCACAGGTAAATTTTTTGACTGCAAGAACAAAGGAATGACATCACAGCAATGTTTTAATCTCTTTCATGTTATGTCTTATTAAAAGAGAGAGAAGTTTATTTTTTTTTTTCAATTTTTTGTTATTGTAAATCCAACGACTAAATCTTTACTTAATAATATAAGAAGTTATTAATCTTCTTCAAATGCTATTCAAAATTGAAATTCAAAAAAGTACACATTGCGAGAGGTAATCACTAGGAGGATTCAGGTGCAGTGAACGTGACAAGTGAAATAATCTTTATTACCTGGATTCTTCAAAAGTGGGATGAGATTCTATGGAGGTGGACACATTAACTGAAGTCGTTGCACCGTGTCACTGAATGCAGAGCATTGTATTTCTCTTAATTCTCTAAACTTTAAAGTTAACGTGGACCGCAACAAGTACCTGTGTATCTTTAAGATTTCATGACCCTTAATGGAAATTTAAGAAATGTATTGTAAGATTTGATTTAAATCATTATCTATCATTTTATAATTTTAAACCGAGGAATATATATAATTTGTTTGAACGTCCCATTCAAGATTTTTCCTATTTATATAGAGATGTCACTACTGAGTATATATATTTTGATAAAAGCTTCAAATTTAAAGCTTATCTCGACACTTAAGGGGATGAAGGATGTATGGTCACGTGACTCAGTTGATTTACGTCATAATCTCTGATAAAATATGTACAAAACGAGATTGAAACCACAGTACTTGTATAATTTTTTTACTGTTTGTTTGCGTTCACCATCTAGTATAAAAATATCTGAAAACATTCAAAATTTCTTGCAAATATAATCAAATTACGGAATAGATTAATCCACTCTGACGTTTCCCTACTCTGCGCGTCCAATGCGTCTTTGACGTCATAGTGGATCTCTTAGTTCAGTAAGATCATACACGGTAAAAACGGGTAGTATAAAATCATAAAAACGGGCCATAATATGTACATAGTAGGGTATTTTGTAAATTTCAGAACGCAAAAAATATTTTTACATGGTTGTTGACGGAAAAGTTCTGTGGGTTTGTCTTATTTCGCTTATTTCCGGAATGTGTGACGTCAAAGTTGGGTTTTCCCGTACTCGAGAAATGTAAACATGACACGTTTTTCTCATGATCATGACTCGTTTAACTTTGCCCCGTGCAATATTGAGCTCAGCTTCACCAATCGATATTTTTACAGTTAATCAATACAATGACGACCTTGAACTTCGACGTAAATTTTCAAATATTGAATGATAGGATTTTTTGCAAATTAATTTTTTTATGGTTTAAGTTGTCCTAAAAAAGTCGTAAATTTCCGTCTCCAGATGTGGTGTTACAAAAGAATCTTGCTTTTTCGAATTTTTAACCCTATTCATACTCTAAAATATTTTAAAAGACACATTTCCGCTGGTATATTTTTTATCTATGGTGAAAAATTTCAATTATCGACCGAGTAATGGACCCAGAAACACGGAGAATAAAAACTCCGCTCAGACACTGTGGGGTATGGTATTTGTCACTCAATATCTCAGAAATAAGTCTAGAAACCTATTGATATGTCTGCTTTATAGTATGTAGGACATACTAAATAAGATATATACAAAATATGAACAAAATTAAATGACAGGTATTTTTTCAGCTAAAGGTCCTTCATCCCCTTAAGAACATTGACCAATGAGGGTTTGTGCCATCTGTTACCATGGCACAGAACCTTAAAGGTCTCATTCTCAAGATCCAGGTAACGGAACAGTCACTTCCTTTGTTTTTATAAGGTCTTATCCTTTGAAGCGGTGAGGCGATTAAGAATCGAACCCGTGTTCCAAAATACACACTTGCAAATTTGTATCTAAAAAAAAAATACCAATACAGAACAAGTTTTAAAAAGTACGTCAAATTTCACTAACGAGTATGGTAAACACAGAGTTTCTGTAAACGGATATGAACGTTTCTGGGAAATCCTTCTTTCGGTTTAAAAGATTCAGAAAACAATGCACTATTGAGATTTATTTAGTATGAATATTAAAATAAATAAAGTAAATTAATAAAAAGGAAGATTGGCTTTTAAACAGATAATTTTAATGATATTAATTCCCCAAGAAGATATTCCTATCATGCAAAAGAAAAGTATGATAAAGTTGCTTTTATACAGAAGGTTCAACAGACTACTTTTCTTAAACAATAATGTTGCAAAATCTACGCATAAAAAATTCAATTTCACCAAATTTTGCACCTAATTGTAATTCTATAATGCATCTGAATGATTTGCATTTCGCGATAAAATCTGTTTCTATGAGCTTTTGGTTTAAGGACGACAAACGGAAGATACATTAAAACCAAATTCAGTGAATGATTAATCTTTGTTGATTATGTTTAAACAAAAACAGAAATCTATATTTTGAAATTTTTGTGTCCCTTTTCTCCATTTTTGTTTTCTCCATGCGCATAAGATATTTAAAACATGCAGTTCTTGAATATAAAGTGATAAGTAAAATACACCTTTAAGTCTGAAAAAATCATATAATTAAGCTTGCAATCTTGTATGATACAATCTTTTGTGGAATAAATTAGCCAAGTATTAAATATTTCAATTAAAGATGGAATATAATAATACCTAGAAAGAGGAAGGTCGTCCAGGCATACAGGCATTCCATGACTGGGGAATATATATCCTTCCGGCCAGGTAACGCTGGTTACCTGACTGTAAAGGTAACTCTCCATTAAGGGAAGTAAATCAGGAACAGAACAATTATGAAATATCTAAATTTTTTTGTTTGTTTTTATGGTCATGGAAAAGGATTTTATTGATTTAGTTGATTTCATACTAAAATACGAAAACATAAAATATACATAAATCTGGGAAAATATGGGAGAGATCATAAACAAGCATTTTGACAACAAACATGTAGACCGACTCCATGTTTTTTGTACTATTTGCACTATTCTTATGCAAATCTTAAAAAAAAGATATCGTAGTCTACAAACGAGATCTACTGGTCGGATATATTTGTACAGGTGTAGCAGGCGTAGAACTTTTGACATTTTATAGCACTTGGAGTAATTACTACTATTACGAATGAGTTCTAAAGGTGAATTGTAAAGGCTTGTCAAAAGAATATTTTCATGTGAAGTCAGAAGCAGGAAAGATTACTTAAATTCACCGAGGAAACGTACTTTATTGACAAAGCGTTAAGAAGATCAGATACAAGTTCTATAACATCATGATATTACTTATGATCTTAAACAAATTCAGGACAGTCTCACTGAGATCAGAGAATCTATGGTTAAGAAATCGGGATGTAAAACTTATAGTTTCCGAAATTTTGCTCAAAATGAAAAATGAACTGAAAGGTGAAATAAAAAAAAGAAATAATTTCAGAAATGAAAGAAGATTTCGAAAAGGGTATTAAAAACAAAGTTAAGGAAGAATTCGAGGAGAAAATAGAGAGAACACATAAAGAATTCCAAACACAAACGAAAGAGATTTCGGATGGATTCAATCTTGATTTTGACACTCTTAGAGAAAAACTAAGTGTACAGGCAAGGGAATTGAGGGATTTGAAGAAACAACTTCAGACATGCGAATCTATTGCAGGGTCTGCAATCACCCTCGCTAATCAAAACCAGCAGTATTCCCAAAAAGCTAACATAAAATCTATGAATTGGGCAGAGGAGAAAAATGAACATCTTAAACAAAGGCTTTGCGCGACACTCAAGGAAGCGGTGAACGTTGACCTTGACCCCGCTGATGTCCTGGCGATCCATCGGATTCCTGGAGGAGATGGAAGAGGACCACGACCTGTGATCGCAAAATTCCGAAACACCGACATCAAGATCATGGTAATCAAAAACAGAGCTGACGAAAATCTTAAAGAGATCTTCACCATGCACGATCACCTTACGCAAATGAACATTAAACTGGTGCGCGACTTGAACAATGATCCGCGAATTTACAGTGCTTGGTATTATAATGGAAAAGAGTTTGCCCTAGACGAAGAGGGAAATCGCTACAAATTTTACATTTTGGACAACGTGTCTGAAAAATTGAAAGGACACTAAATAATTACTCAAATATGCAGCGGAGCTGACTTTGCGAAAATAACACTTGTAGACTGTGAGATCGGGCTCGATATTCGCTAAATTCAGATCATGTTTACTTTTTGTGTGAGTGTGTCGGTGAATGTTTGTATGTCCCCCTGTTTTTCTAATATCATTATGTGCTTTCATTATTCGAAAGATGGTGCTTTCACTTATTTGATGTCTCTTTATTGCTTTTTTCTAAACCAGTACAAACTAAATAAGTAGCTCAATTAAATTAGCAACGGAGAATTGTCAAGGCTTGGCAACAGGTACCAAGAGACAGGATGTTTTAAATTATTATAAGAAAAAAGGTTTTTCAAATCTCTGTTTACAAGATACTCACTTTACTAAAGAAATGGAACCTTATTTTGAAACACAATGGGGATATAAATGTATTTTTAATTCGTACAAGTCAAACTCAAGAGGGGTATGCATTCTCTTTAATAACAATTTTGAATTTCATATTCACAGGGAGAAACGATTATGGTAATTTATTAGCTCTCGATATGACAATCGAGGATAATAAAGTTACTTTAATTAATATATATAGACCAAATTCTGACAATCCAGAGTTTTATGAATTAGTAAGAGAGACATTTTTAGAATTTGATAATTATTATTTTATTTTATGTGGTGATTTTTATCCGGCTCTTGACCCTTCAATAGATACAGAAAATTATTGTAACATTAACAATCCAAAGGCAAGACAAAAACTTTTAGAAATTATGAATGACTTACAAATAATAGACTACTTTAGGGTTTTGAATCCAAATTTAAAAATGTTTACATGGCGAAAGAAAAATCCAATAAAACAAGGACGATTAGATTATATTTTAATTTCTGAAAATATGTGCAACTTGGTTGAAAATTTAGCAATTAAACCAGGGTACAGATCGGACCACTCATCAGTAGTTCTTGAAATAAAATTCAATACCTTTAAGAAAGGGAAAGGTGTTTGGAAATTTAATAACTCTTTACTTACAGACAAAACATACGTTATCAAAGTGAAAGAAACAATAAAATCTGTTAGAAACAAATACGAAAAGAATAATGTGCTGATAGAAAATATGGATAACAGTACATTTTTTGAAGTCCTTCTAATGGAGATTAGAGGCATTACTATTTCATATTCATCATATAGAAAGAAAGAAAAAATAAAGAAGAAGCCTTGTTAATTGCACAAATAGAAAAATTAGAGGCAGAGAATACTTAAATTTACATTTAATAGAGGAGAAAAAAAAACAGATCTTGAGAATTTAAGAAAAGAAAAGTTACAAGGTCACATCATAAGATCCCGAGCCATATGGGTTGAATATGGAGAAAAACCATCTCAATTTTTATGTAAATTGAAATCCCGTAATTATTTGAATAAGATTATCAAAAAGATTAAAACAGAGGAAAATGTAACTATTTACAATCAGTCAGAAATTTTAAATAAAATCAGGATGTATTACAAATCTCTCTATACTTCTGTAGATGCAGAACTTCTCGACATAGATCTTGCAGAAATTATAACAGATACTGAGGTTCTAAAACTTGAAAATCATATTGCCAAAACACTTGAGGGAAAAATTTTGGAAAATGAAGTCTTAGAGGTGTTAAAAAACATGAAAAACAATAAGTCACGAGGAAGTGATGGCTTCACCGCAGAATTTTTTAAATTGGTTTGTTCAGATTTAAAACTTTTTATAGTACTTGCCATAAATGACATATTTCAGAGGAAAGAACTTCCCATTTCTCAAAGATTAGGGTTAATTACATGCTTACCAAAAGGTGATAAGCCAAGAGAAGTTTTGAAAAATTGGCGACCTATCACACTTTTAAATGTGTTTTATAAACTTTTATCAGGTTGTATTAGTCATAGAATAAGATCCACCCTGGACAATATATATCATAACAAATACTCAACTTGGATTTTTAAAAGGAAGATATATAGGTGAAAATACCAGATTTCTTTTTGATATTATGGATTACACTGAATCTAGAAACAGACCGGGATTGCTTGTACTTATAGACATTGAAAAAGCTTTTGATTCAATATCCTGGACCTTTGTGCATAAAGTATTAGAATGTTTTGGGTTTGGTAAAAACATTATTGAATGGGTAAAAATTCTAAATACAAAATTTTGTGCGTCGGTGCTTCAATGTGGATTTTTATCCGAACAATTTTATATCCAAAGAGGATGTCGTCAGGGAGATCCCTTGGCACCTTATCTGTGCAGAAATTCTCGCAATTATGATCAAACAAAATCAAAGTATTAAAGGAATTGTTATTAACAAAACAGAACATAAAATATCCCAATATGCAGATGATACCTGGCTTGCCCTTGACGGTTCACCTTAATCACTTTTTGCAGCATTAGATACAATTGATTTTTTCTCAAAGTTTACAGGACTTAAAATTAACAGCTCAAAAACTAAAATTGTTTGGATAGGTTCAAAAAAATTCTCTAAGTTTTCCATCATTCTCGTTGGAAACTTGAATGGGGTTGTACAACTTTCAATTTACTTGGAATTAATTTTTCAGTAGAACTAGATAAAATTATTGATTTAAACTACAATGTTCAAATACCAAAGATCAAAGCATTAATTCAGCAATGGAAAAGAAGGGTTCTTACTCCTATTGGCAGAGTTACAGTTCTTAAAACATTAGTTTCACCAAAACTTAACCATCTTTTTATATCTTTACCAAATCCATGTAAAGAAACCCTATCACTATTGAACAGAGAAATCTTTGAGTTTATTTGGAAATCAAAATGTGATAAAATTAAAAGGAAAGTTATTACTCAGGATTTTTTACAAGGAGGATTAAAAATGTTGGATGTAAATAAAATTATTACATCTCTTAAATGCTCCTGGATTAAAAGATTAACAAAAAGTAATCAACCATGGTTAGATATTTTTTTGGCAATTAATGGTAAAGACATATTACATAAAGTTTTTGATTTTGGTGAAGAGTATGTGTCTTGCTTTATTGTAAAAAATAACAACATTTTGGAAAGATGTGTTTAATTCATGGTTATATTTCATGAAAACACTCAACAATAATTCATATATGAAAACTAAGTATCTGAACTTACCTGTGTGGTACAATCCCAATATAAAAATTGGAAACAAAATAATTTTTGTAAAGACTTGGTATGTAAATGGCGTTAAAAGTGTTTGTGATTTCTTAGACAATGAAGGAAATTTTTTAAATGTTACTGATTTTGGAAATAGATTTCATTTGTCTAATGTTTGCATTATGCAATACAACAGTTTTATTTGTGCTATATCCAGGTTTTTAAAAACAATGTCTATAGATAAATCATCTGTTAAGAGGGAATGTACCCCTGTTCTTCCTTTTTATTTTGAAAATATTATTGTATATGAAAAGTGCACAAAATAATTTATAGATATTTGAATAGTAACAGCATCATTCCTACATCACTATTTAGATGGAACCAGGAACTATCAATGTTTCTAGAATCTGATATTTGTGTTCAAGATGTTTTTAAGGTTTGTTTTAGAACAAATATGGATACTTCTGCTCAATGGTTACAGGATAGAATCCTACATAGAATCCTTCCAGTGAAATATCATTTGAAGAAAATAAGTATTTTATCTGATGATCATTGTACCTTTTGTAAGCAGGATATA